TTTGATTAAATCTAAGTTTTGAATTGATACTAAATAGCTATATCTGATTGAAATTGATTAGTATATATTAATATGTATTTATACTAATTGAAAAAATGGCAAATCAGCTATAAATTGTATCAAAATTAATTTAAAATTAACTATATGATTTCTAGCTGATTTGGACTATTTCAACCAGTATAAGTCTTAATTCTTTTTTTTTTTTTAGATATATTTTAATAAATTAATAGTAAAAAATTATGCTAAAGCTCTGTATATAATATTTTGAATAATCTAGTTTAATTTAAATTATAAGTTAATTTAAATCTAAATTGAAATTTCAATTCAGTTCAGTTTAGATTATAGATCTTAAAAATACTAATTTGAATCTAAATTAAATTAAATTCTATTTAGATCCTAATTTGACTGAAAATTTTATATTACTTTAAAATTTAGTTTGCTTTATCATTCAATTGAAATAATATTAATATTTCAATTAAATGATCCTTTTATTATTTAATTAAAATGTGAATTATGATCATTCTAATTAAATAAGTCTTTATCATTTAATTAGATTTTATAATTTGATTAAATGATATTTTGATTATTTTATTAGAATTATATTTTAATAAATTTAATTAAATCTCCTTTAATTATTTAATTAAAATAATAATTTTGATTATTTTAATTGAATGATCCTTTATTATTTGATTGAAATAATAATTTTAATTATTTCAATCAAATAATATTTTTATTATTCAATTAAAATGATAAGTTTAATTATTTTAATTGATTCTTTTATTATTTAATTAGAATAATAAGTTTAATTATTTTATCATTAAATTAGAATAATACTTTTGATCATTCTAATTGAATGATATTTTAAAATAATAAGCTTAATTATTTTAATAAATAATAATAATTTTATCATTTTAATTAAATAATATTTTTAATTAATTAAAATAAATTAATTGAAATTTTCAGAATAATCTAAAATTTTTAATTTATTTAGATTTTTTTTTATTTTAAATTAGAATCTGAAAAAAACCTGAATTAATCTAAGAATCTTCAGATTAATTTTAATGTAATCTGAAACTAAATTAAAGTTATTCAGAATTATAATTTACAATTAATTTAAACTATTATTACATAAAATTTATAATTTAAAATAAATTCACATAAAAATTAAATAAAATTATAATATTTATTCAAGAAATCATAGATAAGAATTCATAGTAATAAGATATATACAAAAATAAATATAAAAATATTTAAGAGATTATATCTTAAAATTTTAAGTTAATATAGTGAATCAATACAATATTATACAATAAGTTTATTATAAATAAAAGGATTGCAAATAAATGCAAAAGGTTCACAAATGAATTCAAATAATTTCAAAAATTATGAACTGTTATAAAAGATAAGCTTTATACTTGATTAATTATATTCTTTATTACAAAAGTTCATTATTCAATAAATAGGTTAAAGTTCATGTTGAGACTTAATAAAAATATAGAGATATTTATACATATTGGTTAATTAATAAAATAAACTGAACTAAATATATGAAAATAAAATTGAACTATTGCTAGAAAATAAAGTTGCTATGTCATATAATTTACAGATTTGCAAATAAAAAAATTGATATGATTATTAATTGATCTACATAAAGATCCTTAGGAAAATAATATTGACATTATTTTCATTAATTAATTCTTATCAAAATTTTATACATTATACCATTTAGAATTTTATTTATATTTATCAAGAATGATTTAGAAGAAAGAATTAAAAAAAGAGTTTTTAATGTAAATTTGCTTACTTTAATATAATATATTTTTATAAAATTAATTTATAAAATTAATTTAGAAAAATTTTTTAAAAAAATTTTAAATTCATATTTTTCAAGAAAATTTATAGTAAATAAGTAATTTTTATTTTTTGATTATATAATGAATTATTTAAAGTTACTTATAAGCTAAAAATTTATAATTTTTAAAAAATTTAATATTAAAAATTTTCATCTTTAACCTTTAATAATCTTATTAAAATTAAATTTTAACAATATTGATTATAATAGAATTTATCATGAAGAATAACTTTAATTATAATTTTTATGATTTATTAAGAAATTTTATAACTTTTATTAGTAGTAAAATAATTCAATTAGTTCGCAAACATATAAATTTAAAGAAATTTTTAAAACTTAATTTTAAAATTGAATTATTTAAAAAACTTCTTAATAAACTTAATAAAATAATATATATTTATTAGAAGAAATTTTAAGAAATTAATATTTTATTTAAGTTCGCAGGCAAATTTTCTGCTAGACAATCTAAGGGAAAATAAAAGAAAAGCATGTTATAGAGATGAAATGCGAGAAATTCTTTCTGAAGAAGATATAGATAATCATATAACACTTTTGCTTCAGACATTGAAGAAATGTTATTTATGGCTTTTACAGATATTAATAAACACTAGTCAAATAATGAAGTATCAGGATACTAAAAGCCAGTTAAGAACTAAGGCTATATCAGGTTTTGATTCCTTAACAGAATTCTGATAGGCCTACGAGCTATAACTTTTAATAAATTTCCGATATATTATTAAGGTAAACTATTTATAACTGATGAATTTATCATTATTATAAATATATTAATCATAAAAAATTGGTCTTTTTCCCAGTATAGATAAATAAAGCATTTTTTTTTCGTCATAAAGATATATTATTAAAAATTACATAATAAAATCTTACCAAGAAAGTAAATTATTCTAAAATTAAAAAGATGAGATGACGTACCTTTATCGCATTGGATGGGATAAAGTAACGATAAATCTAGTTACGTTAATATGTTACACAAATATTTTCTTTTCACTTAAAATTCTTTACCACTCCACTTTGTTATACTGAATATAAAGAATGCATTAGCACAACAAAAAACTGAATACCAGTCTTTATTAGAAAAACAAAAAGCCGATTTCTAATCACAAATGAATCAGCAAACTAAAAAGATACCTCCACCAGTTCCTTCTAAAAGTATGGACCATTCGTTTTCAAAGACAAAGTCAATCCATCCATGTTTAAAGACGCAACTTCCGGTTATTTTACGGTCAAAAAAGAAGGTGCTTTAATGCGTCTTATCTGTTCATCTTAATCAAGAAAGTTTACAAAGTATCCTTTATGTCACATGATTATAATGTCTAATAATTATCGTTCATTAAACATAAGAAAAAAATAATTCTTCACTCGATTGAACATGGTTACATTTGAAAATGGTGAATATTTGATGAAGAAAATGTTGGAATTAACGAAAATAAGAAACGATATGAAGTGCAGTAAATAATTATTTTACACGAAGAAATTAAATTGAAATTTCGTCATATGCCTTCGCGCAAATGAAATGATGAAAATTTCAAACATAATCAAATTATTTAAATCGAAAATATAATTTATTAGAGAAATAGATTTTTGAAATAATTCTTTTTCTTAGAAATTGGTTACAAGTTTAGGAATTTTTCAAGAAAAATTATGCCATCGTTAGTCCAAGCGGTAAAAGCTTTACGCAAAAAAAAAAATAGTCTAAATCCGCGGACGAATAAAGGATAATTTCGCGCAGTAATTCGATAATTTTTTTAAAAAAAATTGAAAGTCAATAAGAATTGCCACCTCAGTATTCTGTCACGTTATATACGTATCATACGATTTTATAGATGTTCAAAAAAAGTAATAAAGCTCATTGTTTTCATCATGCAGCTTGTTGATGCGACTTGTTTCAGAACTTTTTTTTTTTATAAAAACAAGATGTTTCACAAGGTTTTAGAACCGCCATAAAAAATTTTAATTTGCGTTGCAATATTTCTTTTTATATCCTTATTGAACATAAAAATACTTTTTACAAATTCATCCGAAAAAAAAATATATATATATTTTTTTTAATAAAATATGAAACTCAAGTATTAATGGAATCTGACAAATCAAATGTTTCGGATAAACCCATTGTAATCATTGTAATAGTTACCTTTCTCTATCTTTTGTCCTAGGTAACGTTGCGTTTTCGTTGTTTTCCATTAACGTTCGTTCTTTGAACAATAGGAAAAATATGCATGGATTCTTTAAAAAAATAATGCCCGCAGTAATGATGCGAATTGAATTGCTGCGCCGATTACATACCTTTGTTGTTTAATTTTTTCTCTTTTCATTATTTATCTAGTCTTCATTTTTATAAATCTCTCTTATTAACGTTGTCATTTCGCTACTAATCCCACTTAATAATAAATTTATATTAATCATGACTCGATTATTGATGCGTGCGTTAAAATCAAATTTTAAAAAATTATCACCTAAAAGTATGTTATATTTAACATATACTGTCATAAGTATTCTTTATTATAATGTAAAACGGCTCAAACGATTTGCAGGTTAAATAATTTTCCGGTTAAAGAAATTATTTTTTTGATCAAAAATCGTCCCAATCCGCAGGAGATTGCCCAAAATATCAGTTCTTTTAATTAATACCTAGCGCCAGTATATTTTCTCAATAATTTGGTAAATATAAATTTTTATTATTGCGGAAAAAAATATACATCGATTCAAAAAAAGAAAATTAAAGACATTGATAGGAATACAAGGTTTTTAAAAAGTAATTATACAATAATTATTTTACAACGAGAATTATCGTATTTATAATATTTTGGTTCGTTACATCTAAATTAAAAAGATATCTACGATAACTAACTATTAAGTTACATAATTGAAATTCTGAAAGCAATTGTCCAAATTACTTTGTTAAATACAATTTCCATTTCTCTATCTTAAATAATTACAATAAAACAATTTAAAAAAAAATAATCGTTTCGTATTAAAACAATTCAAAAAAATCATTGTTTCGTGATAAAACAATATAAAAAATCATTGGCTACTTAAATAAACGTAATAAATTTTACATATAAAGAAATAAAAATAAAAAAATAAAAATGAGGATACAGAAATGTTAAGACAAACAATAAATAAGGATCTCTCATTCCCCTAAATCGGAAATCGTTTTATCACTTTCTTCTTCACTTTCATTATCCCAATTCCTTCTTTTCACTTTCCAAAATGAATAATCCTCTTTATATTGATCATTGAAATTATACTTCTTCGAGAATAATGTCCATTTCATATCACATAAAAGGTAAAATTCACGGGTGGAGATTTGACAGTTTTTAAATGCGTCATTTATACCAATTAATTTAGGGCAATTGAAGAAATGATGGATTCGGATTGACTTTTTAATGACTTGGTAACTATGATTTAGTTCTATATCGTCCATTAACCTTTGCGTCACTTTTTTACTGTTTTCATCATAGTATTTATTTTTGTATTGGGTCATTATGTTGTAAAATCGGAGCGAATTTTGATATTTGATGTACAAGTTCTTCTCTACTTTGCTCTGAATTGCTTGTACAATATCGTTCACTACGGTCCTCCGATTGATATCATCATCCATGTTGATTCTTACGTAAAATAATTGCTTGTTATCAAAATAATCCTTTTTCATCTGTCCTAACTTTTCAAGTTCTCGAACGAATTTGTTGTACAAATTGTCTTGATTCATGGTTATTTTTAAGGTTAAAGTGGTTAGAAAAGTTATGGTAGGGAGATAAGTGAGGAATTATTATTATTAGAAAAATTGTGGTAGGGAGATCAGGTAGAATTACAATTCAAATCACGGTCATTTTAAAGGGTTATTTATACAATTTTCTACACTAGCTTTGAGTAACAAGGGGTGAAGTTTTTCATCGACCTAAACAATCTAGAACTTTTTTTTTCTGGTACGGCTTTAAATCAGGACAATCTATACATTGTTTTTGATACTGTACAATGTAGGCAAAGGAACCGAACCAACCTTGAGAACAATTTTGTGTATGGGAAAAGCCATTCAAGCAAATGATTGCATAATGAAACAAAGTTTTATGTATAAAGAAAAACGCCAACCCCAACGTAGTCAATTTTGCACAAAAACTCCGAGTCGTAATGGTTCAAAATACCTCATCCAGTTATTAACCGGTTATACCAAAGTTGAAAGTGAGATTTAATTTGTTCAAATTTGATAAAAAAAAAAAAAAATGCAACGTGAATTTGGGTTGGGAAAATCTTGAAAGTCTCAAAATGATTCCGAAAATTTTCTCAAGCAAAGAGGTTCGGGTCATCAGGAATTTATTCATGCGTTTTAAGATTTTTAACATCTTTTTACCCGTTTTGGACAAACCGGTTTAACCGACCGTTTTTTGTCTAAAATTGGCTAATCTTTGACCTCCTCTTTGAAATAATTTTTTTTATCGATTTACACAAATTACTAATTTGGGTCAACTGATCGATATTGAATATTCCCAAATAGGGTTTTCCAATATACTAATTATATATTGAATTATAATAAGTTGCATTATTTATATTTATATTTATATTATTATTATTATTTTCTTTAATTAAATGCTCAAAAATATCAAGAGTAGCTTCAAATTTACCAACATGTTGCAACAAGGAGTGGTGTATTAAAGATGTGATTTTTTGAACGAAAATATTGTTACATCAACTGCTTTTTGTTGTACTTAATTTAAAACGGAATTTTGTGTCATAACATTGTGCGACTACATGAGAGACTAACCAAATCTGCCATTGTAAAATTTTTTTTTTGTTTACGGTCCCATGTTGTATGCAATAATTTGTTTATTTTGGGTGCAGCGATGATTGCTCAACAACATTGCACTTTTATACATCGAAATCAATCTAATAAATCCAAACGTAGCAAAACTTAAACGGAATCATTTTAATCTTGCAGTAATACTGCAGAAAAATTATATGCAACAATCTACCATTATTAAAAAAAATTTTATTTTTAAGAAAAAAAGATTCCACAGGTATCTAAATATCCTCCGCAGAATTGGCACTTTTTTTTTCGCCCTATAATGTCGCTGTGAGATTGAAAGAATTTTTAATGAGTGAAATCACGAATCTCTTTTTCGTTCTTTATCTTTTTTCCATTTTTAAATGTTTCGTGTTACATTATTTTTTTTTTTGACGTGGTTATTGATGCAAATAGATCATCGATCATGTATGTGCCAAACTTTAATTCTCGCGTAATGTGTTTTTTTTCTCTATTCATGAAATTCGGGTACTTTTTATTTTTTCTTCGTTGAACTGGACGAGCTTCGAGAAATGGAAGCTTTACAAGAAATCTAAACTTCATTATCGAAAAAATTGCTGAAATATTAAAATGGTGAATACGTGATTTTTTTTTTTGGTTTTTTTTTTTTGTTTGAATTTTAAAAATTATTTACATTGAATTCGTGCGTGTATTGAATTAACTGAATGAACCGTTAAAGATTCTTTAGAATTAAATAACAAATCTCATCATAATACAACTGTAATTTCTAGAACAAAAGATCTATGAATCCACAAGATCATGTATTGTGATTATTTAAATTGATGATTCAATTTGAGGTCACAAAATTTGACATTTTGTGAATGATATTTTTGGGATTTGGCTTTAAAAGCGCGAATCAATTATGCTTTTAGAAATATGTATTTTTTTACTATATTAATAAAACGTTCAGCTTTTTTTTTTTAATATTGGGTCGGCCGTGATTACAAGTTTCAATATAACTTCCTTTAACGGAAACCTTCGCCATTAGGTCTCGCTTAAGAATTGGAATCGAAACTCGGTAAATCGCCAAATCGGAAATCGACTTAAAACAATTTATGTCCCAAACTTAACAAATCGTTTAGCTATAACGATTTTCATTTAATTCAATTCATCGACGAGAATCCATTGACTAATAAAAAGATGTTACAACAAATGACGAAAACTTGAAGCTTTGATGACAAAAAAAAGATCAAATGTTCGATGAAGATTAAATTTCTGGTATGTATAAATCAAATCTAATTTGAGCAGATCTCATCATTTCTTGATTGATGGAAATCTTGAAATTTTTAGATTTGTTCGAAAAAAGAGAACGAAAAGATTATTTAATGTTTTACTTTGATCAACAATATTAATTTCCTTGAATTTCAATATCTATTTAGAAAATAACACTATCTCCTCCTATAATACCAAAGCTATTCTTTATGGTTATTCTTTACCACTCCCTTCTCGTATAGAAAATATGCATCAAGACGGTATATATTCTGTGAATCAAGATCTAGAATCTTGCACAGAACTTGGATAATTTTGTTGCAATAACTAAATGCTGTAATTCTTTATAATAATTTGCAGCAAATTCATCATGCTTGACATGCATATAGCGCGGTCGTAATACTTGACCAATCGATTAATATCGACTTTGCTTATGCAACTTCGGTCTTAGAAACGACTCCAATCCCGGTCCCACGACGCTTGCATGCGAATCAGTATAGTACGAAAGAAAGGGAACGATAATGGTTTATTAAACTGGAATTTTAATACAATAATTTTGAAGATCAAAGACGTATGTATTTAAACAAAATTACGATATCATTATGTCGAAAAATTGTAATATTTTTGTTCTTTGTAATTTTTTTATATATTAATAAAGCTAATAAGAAAAAATCTTAGATCTTTCTCATCTATATACTTTTAATTGCTATTATGCTAAATACTTCACGTAAACATTTTCGAAAAACAGTCTTAATGAAATATTTCCGCTTAAACGATCAAAAGTCATGAGTATTTATATTACAGCTTCTTACAAAAGGTAATATTCTTTGAAAACTTAGATGGTTTGGTTTATAATGAATATATTTTTCTTTTCTAATCATTATTTTTGTTTTTCAAACGAAAAAGAATAATATCACTTGAACGAAATGATATTTGTGGTACAAGAATTTTTTTTTATTTAGTTATTGATTGGTTCATGCAAATCAAAAAAAAAACAAATTTTAGTTCAATAATCATTAATAGTATGTTTTAAATGGCGACGTCATCAGCCTAATCAATTTTTGGGCCATTATCTGGACAAACTTCCATTTACCCGCCGGTCCGAAAATCATGATTGGACAAAAGTGTTTCATGTGATTGAAACCGTTCCAATGCTTATTTTTTTGAACAGGAAAATATGAAGAGCGAGTACAAGTAAGTAGTATATCAGTGTTGTTTAGAAGCTATTAAAAGTTTGCAAACTAAATAGCAAAATTTTTTTGTTAAATTAATCTATCCATACTAGGAATGATCAATAACGGTTGTGTACAACTGAAAAGATATTTTGTTTTGTAAATCGTTGGAATTGAGTTTTACAAGGTTAGGATTTCCCGTTGAAATTCAAAGAAAAAATTTCATTTCTAATATCGAAATTCATTATTGATTTCCTCTACGAAGTGATTATATTATTTTCCGATTAATTGTATGAAATTAATTTTTTGTTTAGGGAATCGGCAATGAATCATTGTCGATCGTTTTGTAGATTCTTAGTCAGTATTTCTTTTTCTAACTCATTTTATTATATTTTTTATTTTAATTTAGGAACGTTTTTCGGAGGATGGATGAGGTATTTGAAATCATTTTATTTTGGTATCGAATAATTAATTTTTATTTGCAAACATATATCCTTACCTAACAGAATCTTTATCAATTTCAAACTATACTACACCACCAAATATATTGCGAAAGGTCAAAATCTAAGGTTGCGGGGAATCCCATATTGGCAAAAGTTGAACCTTTCGATTTCGTTGATTTCGACGAGTTTCAACGACGAGATTTTGAAGGGCTTCGAAGAATGCCTTTTGAAACCTCCGGGTTTTGCACGGCATCCTTAAATCACTATATGATGTCAATCCGATTCGATGCTAAGATCTCTGAAATGATGTAATTTTTAACAATGTAAAAAAAATGACACTTACCCTAGATTATAGTATTCTTAATTGAAATATATTATTTTTTCCTTTATTTATTTTTAATAATGTACATTTTTTTTATTTTTTTCGACTTCTTTATACTCAGGCACAAAAAAATAATAATAAAATAAAAATAAAACGCGACTAAATTAGACAATATATTATGAATTAAATTAAATCATACTGTATGTAAAAACTTTCCATATTTTATTCATTTGAATCACGTGTTATATTAAGACATAAAATTCAGTTAACCATAAAATCTTAATTCTAGCCAAATTCTTAATTTCGGTCGGAGTAAAGTTCGACTATTTTATCCGTTCAAAAAAAAAAAATTTACCGGTTAAATAAAAACAAACCTTGTTTGATGGTGGTGTAATTTCATCCTTTTTATTTCCTGTAAACAGTTTGTAAAATTAAGCTGACCCTAGAGTTAAATATTCCGTATTCCGTATGTCATGAGACGCTTATTCGGAATACTACATTAAGTTATGTACTTCACAGATTAGTTTTCAAAGTATTAAATAAAAAATTACAATATATTATATACGTTAAAATACAAATATTTCTTCCAAATATTTAATTTCCTCGTATCAGGAATAAAAACCTCTCTAGATGCACCCTTTCAAAATGCACACATTATATATTTTCTCTCTAGATGCATGTTCTCATTCAGTCTCAAGCATATTGTGATCATATTCAATTTTCGCTTTAAATGCACACCGCTTTAATTGCACAATTTTTCAAGTTTTCACTATGATCACAAGGGGGTGCATTTATAGGGATTTGAATATATTTATTAACTAATGTGGCGCCATTTCCACTTTGGTAGTTCTAAAGGAAAAAAAAGATATTCCGTAGCTCCAGGTCTTTTTGACTTAAATGAACATCACACATTGCCTTTTTAGTCAATCTTAGGGAGACGCTAACATTTGACATTGCTCAAATTAAGACATTGATTTTAAGACATTAAATTCAGGAGCCAAGCAACATATGATTTTAAACTTGACCATTATTTTTCTTTTTCTTTGTATTGTTTATATCGAAAACTTATAAGCAATATAATGATTTAAAATGAAGTAGATTTTCAATCCACCTTTTCACAAGGGGTCATGACATATCCTTTTTTTTTAAAAAAAAAAGCGATAAGATAAAAAATTATGAATAAAGAAAGTAAAAAGGAAATAATTAAGCGATCAGTCAAACTCTCTTTTCTTATAAAAAGGCTGTGATTTTGCTTGCTCTGAGGTAAAAAAATCATCAATACAAAAAATACATACATTTATAAAGAATAAATTTTTCATCATGAAATTTTCTGGAATTCTTCTATTGGTCGTTCTCTCCACAGTAAATGCTTTACCACATCCTGGATATCCAATTGCTGAATCATACCCAATTGCATCATATCCAATTGCCGAAAGATCTGAAAGTAATCCGAAAGATCCGAATAATCCTGAATCATACCCAATTGCCGAAAGATCTGAAAGTAATCCGAAAGATCCGAATAATCCTGAATCATATCCAATAGCCGAAAGATCTGAAAGTAATCCGAAAGATCCGAATAATCCTGAATCATACCCAATTGCCGAAAGATCTGAAAGTAATCCGAAAGATCCGAATAATCCTGAATCATATCCAATTGCTGAAAGATCAGAAGGTAATCCGAAAGATCCGAATAATCCTGAATCATACCCAATTGCCGAAAGATCAGAAAGTAATCCGAAAGATCCGAATAATCCTGAATCATATCCAATTGCCGAAAGATCAGAAAGTAATCCGAAAGATCCGAATAATCCTGAATCATATCCAATTGCTAAAAGATCTGATTGCCGATACCCTGACTCCGAATCGAATTCGAAACCTGCATCATATCCAATTGCCGAAAGGACCTGCTAATACTCTATTAATATTTTAATTAATTTATTTTCATTACACATGTAAAACAATATAGTTAATAAATTTTATTCTGTTTTTATACATTAAAAAATTACATTAATATTAAATATTGTAGTTATATATCTCCATAATTTAAATTCTGAAATTATGTAAGATATAATAAATAATGTCAATGGATCACATGACACATTACTATTTTACTTGCGAGAAGAAAAAAATTTTAATAAATATTCGGAAGTGTTAAATCTAATAATTAAATACTATATGCTTGAATAAGAACAAATAACATTATAAATCAATATCTCAGAAAACTTTATTCGATGAGAAATATATAGACATACTAATTTATGGCATGAATTTGCGATTGCACATAGACCTTTATCATTTTTTGGTCGAGATAGTAGATTATTGCACAAAAGCAGATAGATTGATACTTCAAATTTGGGTATGATTCGCCTATTAGTTTAGTGATTTATTAATAAAATCCATATTTTTTTTGAACTCTAAATGAATTAATTATATTTGGGAATGTGTTCACAATGTCTTTGATTTTTTTATTTGAAAGTGAATTAAGCCATGCCATAAATTGTTTTTCATCCACTCATTACTAATTTTATAAATCTTTCCAGTCGAGATCGGTCTTCTACTCCATTTCCTTTAACTCGATGCGTCTACATAGAATAGGAGCACAGCATCTGTATCACAATCAGTTAACAAATAGAGCAGGATAAAGTGATTTATTTTATTTATTGTATTGCCAAGAAATTTAAAATAGTTCTGGTAAATTAAAAATGTTTGAATGTGTCATGAGTAGTGGATATTATATGCTACATCTTCAAAAAAAATTTCGATTATTGCTCTAAGGTTGTTGATTAATGCTCTGTGTCTTCCTGGGACTAGTGATCATTGCTTTGGACTAGCATTGATCAGACCTTTCTCTTTTTAGATTGATAGCATGAGCGGTCCCTTGGGACCCACCCCTCTTCTATCCAAACATCAAATTCATAACTATTTTCTCAAGCCTTTTATCCCAAAAGTAAAAATCATCTAGATTTTTTTTTAGTGCCCTAATTTGTCCAGATAATGCACTATATACTTCTGCATTTGCTCATCTATTCCAAATATCTGGGCTAATTTCTTCATATATTTGATAACTTCCTATAATTGCAAATAAAAATAATTATTTCTCTGATCATTTCCTTATTAGGTACACTCACTCACTAACAGAAAAAGCGAAACGTTGAAATAGGAGTTGTGAATCTGACACCTTAAGCAAAAACCTATGAAAGCTTATTTTTAGTACGACTATTAATGGAGATTCATTAATCATATTAGCTCAATTAGGCTTGAATAATTTTTTAAAGGATTGTCTGTAAAACATTATCGACAGTCGATCGAATGACAATTTTAATTGGTGATTCTGTCATCACGAATTTTTAATCGTCCTTTTGAGAACGATACCATCATCATCTTCCTTGATTCATAATCCTATCACCAACGATCCTTGAGAGTTAGTTTGAATTCGAAAGTTCTTGATCCGGACTGAACATGACAGTGTTTTAACATCCCCCTTGAGATTTTACAGCTGTACATTTTGGGAACAAATTGAACCTTATTAATAATATTTTATTTGTTAATACCACTAATTAATTAGATTTCGATTAGAAATAAATTCGTCATTAATTATATAATTTTATTGATTTTTTTAATAATTATTAATAAAATTATATAAAACAAGATTATTGATAATTAATTGCAATTTGTTAGTAATTTAGCTATTTAGACAAGCCTGTTAAAATTCAAAATAAGTAAAAAAAGTAATTTGATACGCGTAATTACTTTCTTTATCTCGGACAACTTCTTAAAATCTCTTGTTCAACTATATTATAGGTCAATTGTAAAAAAACCATCATTGATAGGCGGAGCCAATGGAACATATTCAATTGCTCGTATTGGTGGGTCATAAAATACATCGGATATTGGGATGTTGATAAGAAATGCGGGAAGATTTGGACCAACACACCCAGTGGGGTTATCGCTACCTTCTTGCTTAGTTCCAAACTCCCACTAAAATTTAAGAAAAAACATGCTTTAGTCATAACAGAGAAATAGAAATATATAAAAAATCTTAATAGTTTTAACTTTACTTCTTGAGATTTCGCTCCCTGTCTCCGTAATATTGCCAAATAATCAAAAAATATTTTAAAATCCAATAAAAGAAACTACAAATTAATAAAACAAATAATAGATATACCGTCATTGCCCGATCAAAATGTCCTTGTGTATTTCGTGTTACTTGCTTTTTATAAATTTTAATTCCTAATACAGATCTAACATATTGTTCTGTCAACCAAAGATGACACTTGTTCGTCAGATCACGGAAACTTTGACATATCGCACCTCACAAATAATTCTTGCGTGAGCATTACCCTACATGAACCATATAACTATCAGAAAATTGCAATATAAAACAGAAAAGATAATATACACCAAAACAAATTACGTCATAATCTGTTGGGGGTCCAGGAATTGAAGGTTTTTGAACGTAAATTTCACTTGGACGTACTGCAACGTCTGGTAATATAATACCTCCATTTGGAGACGGATGGTCTATGAAGAGATGTGATAATTTAGTAAATCCATAAAAAACTAAAGATCAAGCAAGTTGGATATTCTTACCTATTACGCCAAAAATCTTTATTGGTCTATTAAGAAAATTATAACCTTTATTGGGAAGACCAAAGAAATATTGCAGGGCTGCAACAGCTTGTCCGCGTGGGCTTGAGCACATATCGACTATAAATACATTACCGTTTTGATACTCAAATTTATAAGATGACTCGGATTCAGAGTATTTCTACTGATATGTTTGAACCGATCTTAAAAGGCAAACTATAATCCATACGAGTTAACGCTTGGTACCTCATAAAGTAACTTAAGTGTTGCTCACCCACCTATCTTCTTCCAGACGGTTCTTTGGTAACCTTGGTAATTGGAATTAATTCTGCATTCTTACTGAGCTTAAAAATTTTGTTTGAAATATTCTTGAAGAGGTAAATAATAAAACGAAACTTGAAAATGCCATCCGATATAAATGATTAAAATCCTCGAGCACGTGATTTATATACACGTGATTTGTTTTATGGGTGGCACATAGGGTTGGATCGGTCCGGTCCGGTCCGGTCCGGTCCAAAAAGACCGGTCTTTCATCTTTCTTTGGACCGGACGGTCCATAAGTCAGTCCTAGGACCGGTCTTGTACCATTCGGTCCTACCAGTCCGGTCCGGTCCAAGATTTGTTTTT